GGGAAACAGCCTGGTGTGAAGGAAGAACACTCGAAATCAGAGACTTCAAGTTATTTTCCCAGAGGGCCTCAGTTTTCCAGTCTGTGGCATGGGAATAGTGACATCTACCTCATGGAGCTACTATGAAAAGGAAATGAGATAAACAGAAAAGGATTTGGATCATCATGCTTGGTGACGGTGCGGGCCGTGGTTGGTGACGGTGCAGGCAGCGGTTGGTGACGGTGCAGGCAGCGGTTGGTGACGGTGCGGGCCGTGGTTGGGGACGGTGCGGGCCGCGGTTGGGGACGGTGCGGGCCGCGGTTGGTGACGGTGCGGGTAGACGGCACTGAGAAGGTGGCCAGGAGAGGCTGAAAGAATTTGTCATCTCTTGTACTTTCAGGAAGGAAGTCACGTGGACACCAGGCACAGAGACTGAATGATTGTTCTCAGAAATCTGTTCTTCTTCCTAATACTCCTCAGTGTCTAAAGATAATTCCACAGAGCAAGTTTAAATCTTGCTGTGGAAATTTAAGGTTTTTTTTTTTTTTACCCCTGTGTCTTTTTTTCTTAGTAACGATAGAGAAAAATCATTCAAATCATTGGGCACCTTTGGTTTCAGCCCTTGGTTGGTCTTAGAGATTATTATTAGATTACTTCTCCATTACCTCTTCTTGGGTAATTAATTTCATTTTCCTTAACATCGCTCCTGGTGCCCATCTTCTAAATGTTGAAGTGGGTCTTTCACTTTCCTCCATCTCCCAGAGTAATATTCCTTCCAGGCTGGGGAACGGTTGTTGGGTAATGGTGGGTCAAATGAATTAAGAGGCAGGCCGTATGGTTCGTGGACACTTTGATCTCAACACTTGATAGGAAGTGGTTTGAATTTTTTTTTTTTTTAATTTGAACTATAAAAATGTAAGAACCATCTGCTGTTATTTTTTGCCTGTGATCCTGGTAAGTTATTTAGTTAGACTGCTCTTATGCAATTAGCCACTCTCTGTGGAGGCTTTTGTGGTAAAACTGGGCTATTTTGTTTCCAGTTGTAATGTATATGGAGTGTGCGTGTCCCGTCCAGATTCCTTTCATAAATTGCAGCAGGTTTGCCTCCATGCAGTGAGCTCTTGGGATTCATATGGCTTCTGTCTTCGCTGCGTAAATGCTTTAATTGTAGTGGTCCATTCGATTGGTTGAGAATACATCACATGCTAATTGCTATGGAGCAAACCGAATAGGGTAATGTGATAGAGAGTGATGCCAGGATGGGGCTGGGGCTGCTTTAGTTAGGAACATGGAAGCCCTTAAAGGAGGAGCAATTGGAGTTGACATCTAAAGGGTGATAAAGAAACAGCCAAGTGAAGATGTCTGGTGAACCAAATGAAAATCTGCAATGAGAGAATTTGAAGGGGAAGGAAGTGAAGAGCAAAGGCCCCAAGGAATAAAGGAGTCCAGTGGGCTACATTGTAGTGAGGCAGAGGAGAATGCAGGGAGGTGGCGGTGAAGAGGGTCTAGTCTAACAGAAGCCAGTGGAGGTTTTTAAGGGAGCATTTGATATCATTTGATTCACAGTTCTAGAAAGCTCAGTCTGGCTGCTAAATGGAAACTGGATTGTTAGGAGCAAGAATGTGTCAAGGACACCAGTGAGGGACTATAGCTGTGATCTGGATGAGAAACCATGGTGGTGTGGGCTAAGGTTGTGTGCTATAGATGATGAAACTCGATCAATTTGGGATATACTTGGGATATGGAATTTACGGGACATACCTGATGATTTTGGTCTCTTAGTCAGATATGGAGTGCTGGATGATTCATTTTTGGTCAGTTAAGTTTTAGATGGCTAATGGAATCCAAGTGGCAATGTCCAGCGGGTGATTGAGTATCTGAATCTGGAGCTTGGATGAGATTTGGAGTCTGAAATGTTCATTTAAATTATGTGAAGGTCAAGAATGTAGACAGAGAGGAGGCTGAGGTGTCTGAGTCTGGGATACACCGTTGTTTAGAAGTCGGAAAGAGACACCAGCAAAGGACTCAGAGAGGAACCAGAGAGATCAGAGAACCATGTGCTGAATAGGTGCCTGGAAAGTGAAGTGTCTCTAGGAGTAATTGGTGGCCTCATCATTCAGTTTCAAGTGTTAGCACTCTGCACCCGAATTAAAATGTTAGTTGAAAGATGTATTCTGTAGCTGCATGTTTAGTGACAGCTAGAGCTTGCTGGGCCCAGTGCTTGTCCACAGAAACCCTCAGCCACAGTGGGATCAGAAACAGGGAGACTCTTGTCTCCTGGGGGCCAGGGGAGAGGGGGTTTGCTGAAGTCTCTCAGGGTTTGTGAGATCTCCATACCATTACCAAAGTAGCAAAGAGTGATTTGTTGTTGTTGTCGTTGTTAAATGGCAGTTGTATATATAGCTCGCATGGCTAGGCCACAAATCAGTTCTTGGAAAATAAACTGTAACTAAATTTTAATTCTCAATTTTAATTCCAAGAGTGGAAGGTTCACTTAAAATAAAAGCCTATATAGCCAACTCAGTGTATGAAAAGACAAAAACACTTTTTAACTTCCTTATAGTCCAGTCCTGATGAGAAGTCTCAGAACAAATCATTTTCTAAATTTTATCTTTTCTTGAAGGCAGTTTCTGTTTGGGAGTTAACTTCAGCTTATGGAAAATTGTTGTATTACCTGTTTGTCACTTGATAAATGATATTATTTAAATGAGTAGTAGAGATTTCTTGCTTTCTGCCTCTCTTCAAGTGAACATATAATGTACTCCAACAAACAATTTAGGTTGAAGGGCAAAGTTGGGGAGTCCTCTGTTTTTTTGTACAATTTACTATAATAGGCCATTTTTCCTGCTGTAGTTAAGTGCATGTTCTCCAAAACCCAAAGCATGATTGTTCTGGAAACAAGATGGTTTATTTTGGTGATTCTTACCAAGTTTGGAGAAATAATGGATTTGTTTGAAATTAAGCAAAGCTACAGTTTCTTTTAAGAAGGTTCAATGGATGACAAATACTTTTGCAAACTCTGTAAATGTTTATTCTAACCTTTTACCTTATTGACATTTAGTTAATTTGATGAATAGATAAAGCTAATAAGAGTGTAGTGGGCTGATAGTTGGCAATAGATAGTGGTGAGAAATGTTCTCTTGGTTATTCAACCAAGTACTTGGTTCACTAATTGAATGAGACTTGCTGGGAACAAAACATCAGAAAATAACCTCTTTCCATAAGTTTAACAAAATGACTGACTCTGCTGCTTTGTATAGAAATAAAATCGTGGGGCACCTGGGTGGCTCAGTCAGTTAAGCATCCAACTCTTGATTTTGACTCAGGTCTTGATCTTGGGGTCGTGAGTTCAAGCCCCATGTTGGGCTCCATGCTGGGTGTAGAGCCTACTTAAAAAGTTTTTTTTTATGGTACCTCAGAATTCTCCATTTCTTCTAGGACCAAACTGTGGAAGTAGCTCATTTACCTGGTTGGCCCAATCCCATTTTCAAAGACTAAAATCTCAAACATAACACCTGAAGCATAGGACCTTACCTATGTGCTGCACTACCCACGGTCATGAATGAGTAAAATGCCACGCCAGTCTGACAGCTGTGTACTTTTGCGTGAAGGTTATAGGATGTAACAAGCCTTGTCCTTGGGTCCCTCATGAGCAGTTATCTTTTTGAGGCGTTGGCAGGACTGTCCTGGGGTAAAGGGTCCTGGTGTCCAAGCCACGTGTAGGAGGTGCAGGATGGGAGTGAAGGAGACTCTGGGCTCTCCTCTTTCCTTCCCCTTTCCTGCCATGCCCTCTAACCACTAGGGGAAAACGAAGATGAAGGGCTGCCTGGGTGGATCGGGCTGTGGGAAAGGGCAGGGGGAGGGCCACCTCTTGTCTGGGTGGTGATGGTGGGAAGAAGGCACTGTTGGTGGGGGTTTCTCCCTGGGGAGAGGCTGTGTCTGTCTCAGCCACCGCCTTCCATGGTCCTCAGGACTGTGCCTGGCACGTAAATGCCCAGTAACTTCTTGGTGAACGTTGAGTGGTTGGGGCTCAGGGCTCATATAGACCAGGGCAGAGTTTCTTCCCTTCCTTTCTGACAGTTACTTCCTTGAATGGCACATGGCCCAGTGTCAGACCAAACCCCAAGATCCTACACCTGGGGCAGTCACTTGATTTATTGTACAGAAGAGCCCTCTGTGACTTGGAGGCCTCCACCCAGTTAAGGCATCACTTATACACGTGAAGAAAACACTAGAATTCTTTGGGATTCAAAGCAGTAATATCTTGCTATGAAGAGCAGCATCTTAAATTTGATCATGGCATCTTCCCATTGAATAAAATCCAAGCACGCTCTCTTAGCTAACTGTGCCTTGCATTAAGTGGCTCCTGATTTCCTTTCTCACCTCCTTTTGTGCCGCCCTCTAGTTCCTTAAACACTCCAGACCCCTTCCTGTGTGCTCTACCCTCTGCGCTGTCTTCTGTGTTCTTCCATGGCTCTTCACTTGCCTCAGTCTTTCTGATCCTTTAAAGATCCACTTAACTGGTATTTCCTCAGGGAGGCCTGCTTTGCTCTCTCCATCATCCCCTCTCTCTCATTATTTTATACCTAGGCATTTTGTAGTTCCCCTGGTGTTTGCTTTCTTGTTTATTAGCTTTCTGCCACACTTGAGTGAATGCTTTATAGGCCGGACTGTTTTCTGATTTGGTTAGCCGCTAGTCTAGTCCCTGGTTCAGAGGAAGCTCTCAAAAAGTAAATGAATGGATGAAGCCTCAGCCTACTTTTCATCAGAAAAAGGGTTTCAAGTAAAAACAAAACAAACCTTTTTTTTTTCTTTCTCAGATTCTCCATGCGCAAAACATATATGCCCATCATACGTGTGTGTTCGCACTGTAATAATTCCCTAGTCTTGGTATGGAACTGCCTTCAAGGATAGGGTTTGTGATTTAGTGCCTGTGGTCTAACTACTATTAGTGCTTTTTATACCTAAACTTCTAATGTGTTTTCTCCGCCCTTTCATTTCGTCTTTTTTAGCAAGGGAAGCCATATGTCTTCGATAGAGTGCTGCCTCCCAGCACGACCCAAGAGCAGGTTTACAATGCGTGTGCAAAGCAAATTGTCAAAGGTAAGTGCTATTTCTTTATTTCCTCCTGGGCCTTTCAGAGTAATTGAAAACATTATTAAGTGATATTTGCAGCCTAGGAATCAATGTGCCTTGACTCTAAGCAGAGGCCTGCTAATTGGAAACACTGAATTATTGCCCAAGCTCTGGCCCTGATTTGCTATGATGTCAGGCAAGTTCTTGAACCTCTCTACACCTCCTCGCCAAGGAAATTTCTTTATTCTTTTGCCACCTTTTTGGCAGAGTTATTCTGCCACCTAGAAGCTGAAAAGCTATGATCATACTATTTCTGTAGTGGTTTTAAAATACTGCTGTAGGTATAAGGCCTCCTTTTTACTTTGAAGGAGACAAAAATATATTTCTGATGCTCCAGTTGTATATTTTTGGCTGATTTATTTTGTTCATCTGTCTCTTCAGGCAGAAGCCTTACACGTGGAAAATTCTTGGGCACCAAGGAATTTTCTGCAGAATCATAAAATCACATCACCTTGTTGGTTACTGAGCTGTTCTTGCTACTCAGCATTCCTTAAATATACTTTTGTCTAACCCATTTTCAACCTTTCCACCCAGATACCAACATTTGTTCCTCCAAATAGATAGCCTGAAGCCTAAAATTGTCTTAGAGATTGGCTGTTTCCTCTGGGACTGGCCTTGGCCCTGAAGGATTTGTGTCAAAATCACAGCAGGGAGATGAAGCAATTTACACATTGCTCTACCTTGCCCTTTCAAATCAGGGGCAGGCTGGAGCTTGCCTTGGGGGAGCTTGCCATCTGGCCAGAGCCGAGGGGCATCTCCTGCTACTTTGTTTTTCATCTTCGAACCTTAACCTTCAACTCTGAATGCTATGACAGCTGTGCTCTCAAACGTCCTGATGTTGCCACCTTTATAGGTAGCTGTAGATTTAAAGAGCAAAAAAGCAAAAACAGAATTCAAAAAGCACCTTGTCATGCAAGATGTGCTTGTTTTTGGAAGCTGAGCTGACTAACCTAACTATTTGAAATTCATGAAAGCCAGCCCTGGGTGCATCTGTTCAATTAGTTCTGACCCCGGACACCTGCGTGGGAGATGCAGTCAGTATGTAATGTTCCTCGCTGAGGTGTATGGTTGGTTGTTCAAATTCCGGTTGCAGACATCAATTAATTTTGAAGGTCTTCACAGTAAGATTATTACAGAAAACAGAAGAGAAAAAACATGCCTGAATTTGGGCTTTTCTTGAATTAATACTGTGGGCCGGTATCTGGTGGTAATGTTTGTTTTCTCTCTACTTCTATTCTTTGTATCTCTTCCTGTCTAAAAATGTTTTCTCTCTCTCTCTGGAGTGTGTTGTTCTAGTTTGCTCCTAGGCAGCCTTCCTTCCTTTCCATTAGCAGACTCTTCCTTATTTTTATTAAAGTAAGATTAATCACACATGTGAGCCATAATTTCCCTCTTTTTCTCTCCCCTTCCATTATCAGAACCAAATAGTATTTACCACGTGCTGTGCTAAGCATGAGGTCCATTTAAATACATCTCTAAGTTGATGTTGTAATTAGAGATGGATGCACTCCAGTTTTTAAAAATCCTGTGATTAACAAATAATCATAATCTTTCAGTCTTCATTACTGGAGAAGTTGGGTCTCTTTCAGTGTCTGGTTTTTCTGAAATGTCAGAAATAGGCAGTCCTTGGAAAGTTCTTGTGAAGATGTGACCTAACTGGATAACTTGAGGCCCAGTATATGGTGAGCCACAAAGAAAACCATTTAGGGTAACCTTAGACTCTGACATGATACGATAAACTGATATTTTTCAGATGCTATAAATGTAATGTGAGCATACTCATTTTGTAACAATAAAGAGTTCTTTCTTCTTCCTTGAAAGGAAATTATTAGGGGATGACGAAGGCCTAATTTAACTTTTTTAAATATCCACTGAGGCTAGCATGAGGGGAAGTGGCCGTGTTATTTCTGCATCAGCAAGGTGGAATAGTTACTAGGTACAACTGAGGTTTCTTTTGCCATGACAAGTCCTATTTAAATCAGGAAAGGAAGGTGGTGCTGTAGGGGCCTCTTTTCCTAGAGGCCAGGAATTCAATCAGGTAACTTCTGAAGGTCACCGCAGCTCCTGCAGTTCATGGTAATGTAGTGGCCTGGTGAAATTTTCTTTCAAGGCCATCTGAACCCTTCATGTTTTTGAGATCAGGAAGATTCCTTTTAACTGGATGGCTTTATTCTCTCTTGGTTTTTTTCATTCCCTTCACCTTCACTGGGTTTTTCAAAACATATTTCAAACATTTGATTGTAGAGTTCTGGTACCTCCCACACTCCCATCTCTGTCTGGTGTGTGTTTTTCAAAATGTTGCCTGAAAGAGTATGTAGAATTCTCCGTTTCTTCCAGAAGAGCTTATAGGATTTGTGACTCTCAGCATGGTAAATAGGAAGGTTTCTGTGGACGCGCTAAGAATTAAAAACCATGGTTACTGCTCGTCATTGTTGGAAGTACGGGGACCTATGTCCTAGTCTACAGAAGTCACTCTGGGCATTTGCCTTTCAAATTAACTAGATGTGGACTGTACAGGGCTAGAGAAGGTGGTTCCTTGTTCTCTAGATCTAATTTGTTTAGGCCTCATTCATTTGGTTGTTTATTTTATCCATTCCTTTATGCAAGGATGTTAAGTATTTACCATGTGATGTAAGCACTGCTACGGACTAGAGTCACCAAGATGTGTAAGACTGTCTGCAAAAAACTTCACGTATAGGGAAAGAGACAGATGCATCCGTAGGTATACCCATGGGTAGTACGCGCTTTAAGGTGGCTGTGTGCAAAGTGCTGTGGGATCACAGAAGAAAGTCACTTGGGACCGATTTTGGTGAGTGGGGATGAGGATTGGGGAATTAAATTAAGGAAGGCTTCTTGGAAAGGATAGGTCCTGAAGACTATGGAATGTAGCAGGGCTGTACAAGCACAAAGAACAGCAAAAGCGTAAGGACACAGATTATATGGCATGTTTAGGAGATTTAGGGTGTTGCAGGGTACCTGGGGGCTGGGACTTAAAAAGATAGGCTGGATCAGAGTTTGGTGGAAATGGATGGGCTTTACCCTTCAGGCAATGTGGACTCATTGACAAGTTTTAAGCTCAGAATACTATAAGATCTACTTTATTATATGATATGTGACTCTTAAGAAGAAATATATGTATATATTTGGCTACTGTTAACTGTCAGGCACTGTCTATGCACTTCACATATGTTATTGTATTTTTTAAGTCTCAACAATTTTACGAGGTGTGAGCATTATTGTTCCCGTTGTACTAAGGAGGAATTCGAGGTCAAATAACTTGGCCAGGTCAGTTAGGGGGTGGTGAGGCTGGAAGTTGAGCCTGAGTTTGCCGGTCTTCCTTGAATTTTTCTGCACTATCCTTCCCCCACTTTTCTGGTGAGCTCATAATGAGCATTTAGTAACAATTTATGAGTTGTTACTTTTCTATGGGGCCATATGGACTATTAACCAAGCATTGCAAAAAGACAGGGATAGGAATGGCGGTGGGGAAAGGGGAGAGGGGAGAGAATAGAGATCGTGGTCCCAGAGCTGTGGGGTGGCCCTGCCTGTCTTCCAACAGTGAGATGCATTTCCATTCTGAAGATGCAGCAGAGCTCTTCCCTTCAGACTGGCCGGCCCGCCGTTCTGGTTTGCCACTAGTGTGCAGTAGGTCCGCCTGGGGGCGTATGTCCACTTGAATAGTTTGGTTGGCCAGCCAGAGCCTTAGGATCCCAAGGCAGGGATGACTTGTCAGTCACTCTTGCCACTGACAGGCCACCATTTTACCTGGGGAGTTGGTAGGAGGCCATGACAGCCTTCTCAGGAACTCATATGATTACATTGTCCCCAAAGTCTTACGCAACAGTGAAACTAACTCTTCTGCTCTAGCAAGATCTGGACTCAGAACTAGCAAACCCTAGGATGGAAGACTGGCAAGAGGCGAGAAGTGTTTTCAAGTATCCCACTGTTCACCCTCCTCTTCCCACCTGCAGTGGCCTCTCTCTTTGGGTTTGCTTGGTTGCTGGACGGACGTGTGCTGTCTTTGTGGGTGCCACTGGCTGTGTGGCGTGAGCTGAGATCACATCACGCCAGAGCCTGTCACAAAGCAGGGTTCTGTCTGGCTGAGCTGGCTCCTGGCTCTGCGGCTGGCGCATAGACATGGTCATTCTGCTACAGGAGAGGCTCTGAAACAAATGCTTTCCTTGGGCCCAGGAACTGTCACTCAATGTGATGAAAGTGCCTTTTTGTGGGCTGTTTTTCTGTTAGGGTCGGGTGGGGGTGTTGTGTGGCTCAGTGTGGCGCTCTCCCATCCTGCTTTCCTTGGCGGGCGCTCCGGCCTCCTCCATCCCAGCACTCCAACCCAAATGCACTGTGTGTGCTCACTTCCCCTTCTGCTTCTCCTCTCCCCTGATAATCAAACATAGACGAGGTTAAACACACCAACCCCCACAACCTGGAGTTTGGAAGAAAATTGAGAATGCTGGGTTCGAGGAGCTTTTTCTTTTCTTTTTAAGATTACCATTTAATTCACACTTGAGTTGATAGAGGGCATCGGCTCTGTTCAACCTTGAACACTAGAGATAGGTTCTTCAACAATGAATTAATTGTAACATGATTGTAAATAGTACTTTAAAGACCAAGCCGAGTTTGTTCTGATGGGGTTTTATGTGCTCTCTTTTCCTTAAAAAAAAAAAAAAGTAATTGCACCCTGTGTTGAAACAGCGGCGACAGTCCAGGATTCTCCAAGTAGAGTCCATGTGTTCCTTTGCGTCCTGCTCCAAAACAAGTGGTGCCCTCCATGAGCTCTTGTCTCCCTGGATGTGTCCCAGACCTTACCCTGCAGGAGTTTGGGGAACAGCAGTTAACTAGGAGTTAGTAGGATTGTGCATTCTGCTTAGGGAGGTTGGATTCGGAGGTGTGGCCCCGTCCAGGGGAGCCTGATTCAGGTGCCCCGGCCCCACTGCTTCGTGGCAGAGGAGGACTCATGCGCCGGGTTTTCTCTTGTCTGTGGGGCTCTAGCTCTGAGCTGAGTTTTCCTTATGGTGCGGCGCATTGCTCAGAGCCACCCCTGGCGTGCATGTGCACTTGCAGGGTCACTAGTGGCCTCTTAGGAGCCTCAGAGGGAGCTGGACCTTGGCCTCGGCCTCCTTACCCCTGATCTAATAATGCCTGGGCTGGTAGGTCCCAGAGTGCCTCCTACACAGGGGCTGAAGGTAAGGAAGCCCGTTCAGTTTAGGGGGAGATGTGTGATTTCTAATGAACAGAAGCTTTAGTGCTGTGACTGTGGCTGGCATTCCTGGAGTTGTTTATGCCACGAATGTAGAATTTTAAAAGTACAACCGCAGGGTGGGAACCTCTTTCCTTGTGTCCCTCAAGTGCATTGCATTCATGGTCGCTTAGAGGCTCCCCACTCTGAATTTGTTCTCTGAGCAAGTTGGCATTTTCGTGAAAACTGAAGCTTGAACCTCCAACCCTTACACTGTGGTCTTCAAGTTTTTGCTTTTCCTGTTCCCCAGGAAACCATTACCAGAAGTTTGATGTGTGTGAACATTCTCTCCCTCCCTCCTCTCTCTCGATATAGCTTGACACAAACTCTCAAGGGCTGTTAGGATTAAAAAAAAAAAAAAAAAATTCTGCTGCTTAATTTCTCTTTTTTGTTTTTTAGCTTCCTGAAGGAAAATCCCACTTTCTTTTCCGACCCCAGTTCACACTCCAGTAACCTCAGATCAATAAAATGTATGTTGAAAAAATTTTTAGAAAAGCTAACAAAAGAACAAAAATTACCTGGCATTATGAGATTCAGAGAGGCCAAAACCACAAACCAACCAGCCTAATCAGGGCCTGAGCCAGAAGGAGCTGGTGGCCTGGCTTGATGAGGGAAGAGGCCAGTGGCCCCGAAGAGGACACCTCAGTAGGGGGTTCCTCTTGTTGCCCCCACTGTCCTTTCAGGAATGAGACTTCCTCCCCTTATGTAGAGATGTTGGGTCAAGGATGTTAATCATGTACTATTTCCCTTTTGGTGATATTGATGCAGATGAAGGAGGATTGAGGGAAACGAGTGCTAAATATATTTTAATCACCTCTGCTGCGTGGAAGGAATCCCCACAGATAATCTTCAGTGCAAAGCAGCCTCTGTCTGCACGCCTCCCCCGTCCCTGTGTGAAATGGAAGCCGGCCGGCCGTGTGCGGGCTTTGCACAGTGTGCTCATTGTGTAATTAAAAGAAATTCCTGACGCTGATGGGCCTGGGCCGTCCTGCTAGCACAGTCACCGAAAAAACAAAGGCCATAACTTTGAGTGAGGGCCCCGGTGGTTTCCGGGCTGATTGGATTGTCCCCGTGTGGCTGGGTTTACAGAGTGGGGCCCTGTCCTTCTCCCCAGCTCTGGACTTGCTCTGTTCTGAAGGGGCTCCAGACGGCCTTCCGGAGAAACATCCCCAAGGAGCTCGCCTGCACCGGCATTTCAACTGACCCAAATCAGATCTTTCAGAAAGAAACTCTTATTCCATATCTCACTCCAGAGACTCAGGACACTGATAATGTTTTTCTTCCTCCTCTCAGATCAATTTAGAGAAGAAAATTCAAGTATCTTTCTGCTAAAAAGAAAGCGTACTGCTCGATATCTGTCTTAATGTTGATGTTACTAGGAGAGAGGGTGTCTGCCTCTTTCTTTCTTTCTTTCTTTTTTTTTTTGCCTCTTTCTTCATTAATATATTCTGTAGGAATGTGAGTACATTTCTTATTTGTGGAACAGTTTTTGCTTTTATCTCACAATTCTATTTAAAATGCATATGGAGTTGAAATACATCATTTGTGTGAAAAATGAGATGGGCCATTTGGAAAATGTAATTTTTAAAATATGGAACCAACACTGGCACACGATCAAAGTAATGAGTTAATTTTAATTTCTTTTTCTTGCTTGCAGATGTCCTTGAAGGTTATAATGGGACGATTTTTGCGTACGGACAGACCTCATCAGGAAAAACGCACACCATGGAGGTAAGATTGTGGCGTGCCATGAGGCATTCTCTGGGGGGCTCAGCAGCACTGTGTGACCGGCCACATTCAGGCGCATACAGCCCCTTGACTGCGCGTGAGAGAGTGGTTAAGGGACTAGTCATGTTTGACCAATTTATTTTGTATTTGTGGAGTTTCAAAATAATGGTAATAAAATCTCAGGGGTTCAGAATTTTAAGAAAATCCTTTGTTGGTAGCTCTCTCAAAATGGTAATAGTACATTCTATAAAAAAAGACTCATCAGTAAGCTAAACGGTGGTGTGAGTATCTTTATGGACTGCGACCCTAATCTCAACTGAGAAAGTCTGTTGTGAGAATCGTTTATACTAAGGAAGGCCACTCTGGGGAGGTGAGTTTCCTCAGAGGAAATTAAAAAACTGTAGGACAGAGATGTAAAGAAGTTGGCTTGTGGACCAAATTCAGCCCAGAGACATATTTTTGTTTGGCCTGCACCATGCGTTTTTAAAAATTTTTTAATTTATTATTATTATATGTATTTTTTAATTGCAGGCAGTGCTTAAAATGGGATGATTTCACACAATTCTGAGTTTCCAAATTTGGTTGAGAATTCTGAAGATCCTACAACTGGGCGAAATTTCACCATAATTTAAAGTGTAGGCTTCACTAGCTCAGAGATCATCATTGTCTTGTTCACCTGTTCATTCACATTTCTGAAGGAAAACCCCACTTTCTTTTCTGACCCCAGTTCACACTCCAGTAACCTCAGATCGATAAAATGTATATTGAGAAAATTTTTATTTCTAGTGCATGGAACAGCGGCTGTCATCCACGAGGGGTTTGATAAAATATTCGTTAAATTGGTAGCCTCGGGATGACCGTGGCCAACCCTTGTGTGTGGGCTGTGCGGTCCAGTCCACGCCAGCCCCCTGCATGCACACTGTGAGTACAGACTGACGAGGAGCATCCTCTGTCGTTAACGTACACACCTGACCTCTGTGGGCGTGTGAAGGTGTGAGCCCAGCTCAAAGTCTGTGGCTGTGGAGACCTGTGGCTCCAGGCTGTCTTCCAGACAAGGCACGTCTGCAGATAAAATTGGCCCCTTTACCTCTTCTTTCCCTGCTTTTGTCCTCCCGTAAGCCCTTCAGGGCCGGATATTCTTCTAAAGGCTGGGTTCCCCTGACAGGTGAGAAGAGTGGTTATATGGTTACAAGACACTGCGCAGAGCAAGTTTGGGGAATTCAGCTTACAAGCAGCAGGGCAAGATGAATCCTTGATCCTTCAAGCTTAGGATTTTCATTTACGGTACCCTCCTGGGAATGTTACTGAGAGACATCTGCTGCAGAATCGGTTTAGCTTTATGAATCATTCCTATTGAAGAGGCGATTTCAAGGCACGAGGCTAAAACTCTTGGGGCTCTGATGTTCTGCTCACACCGATTTCAAGTGTGTGTGTGACTCTGGGGCATCTCATTTCTGTTGTGTTGACTCGCTTTCACCCATTTTGCAGGGGACAGTGGCTCCGAGATCACACAGATTAAAGGAAGCACAAGGTTTATTTGCCACTGCTTCTGGACGGAGCAGGACTGTTCCCTGACACCTGAACCTTGGCCACACTCTTCTCTGCGTCTCCCATTCTTATGCAGTACACCTTGGAGATGTAGGCATGGCCCTTTGCCTTCATCTCTTATTGGGTCCCAGACCCTTAACCTTCCCGGCACTAGCAAAGTTGCAGTTCTGTATTTCCTAAGTACTAGCAACTCCAGTAGCCTTGACAAAAGCTCCTTCATAGACCATAAGGCCTAAGGGGTGGGGGGGAACATCTCATGAGGGTGTCCATCAGTCTCTAGGTTTTTGGAACATTACCAAACAATATACAAAATAACAACAAAAAATGCAGTATTTAGAATCCCCCAAATCATAAGGACTGTTTACAAGAGTGACCTTTTTAGCTTTGGGATTAATTTGTCTTTGGGAAATATACAAGGTATTTGCTCAATGTCAGAAATTTAAATGGTAAACCATCAAAGGAGAGACCTGTCCCCAGAGTAAAATCTTAGTTTGTGTTGTGTGTGTGTGTGGGGGGGGCGCGCAAATCAGTGGGTGTAAGGAGATGGCAAAGACGTATGCCAGCTTTTTAAAATGAAAATCGGAAATGTTTTGTTACATGAGGGTATCTGGAGCCCTGGGCGTCTGACAGCATGAGCCTTACAAGGCCTGCAGCACCGCTCAGCCAGAGGGGTTCGGGGGAACCTAAAGGGAACTGGCTTCTAATGCAGGTTACTCTCACAGTTGCCTAAATTCTGTAGCTTTTTCATCCACGTCAGTTTTAAAAGGTTGATTGCAAGGGGTGCTTTTCTTTATCATGACTTCTGAAGGTCATGAACTTATGCCCATAGGAGGAAGGGGCGGGGCGGAGGGGAGCCCTTTCCTAGCCCCCGTCCCCAACACACACACTTAGTCTGGTTCTTTCCGTCCAGTGGGTATAGATTGGAGAGAAGGTAGGAGATATTTTAGCCGAAAACAGGAAAGGAGGAGCCCCGAGCCGAAGTCATAGAGACTGTGGGAGACTGAGAAATCCAGGACCCTGGAATGCAATTAAATTAAAAAAAACAACAACAAAAAAACCCTGCAGGGCTTGCACCATCTGAAAGGATTTTATGTATTCGGAATTATACATTGTGATCTTTCAAAGGCTTTTTTGGATGGGGATGTTAACTCCCTGAATGGACAGAGCTGTCACATTTTAAAGCTGTTTTTCATTTTAATCCCCTCATTTTTGGTCTGACATCCAGTGGTGATTCCATTACCTTCTATTGAGGAGAACAAACAGATAAGCCTACGTGAAATTGGAAAGATTAGCTTCTGAAGATGGAGCATTTAAGGCGGATTTTCAGTAAAAATATGAAACACTTGACAGTGTTGATGCCAAGGTTGGTAGGACACCATCATGCACCGGGCCCAGGGCGTGTGTGGCCAAGTGTTCCCAGGCCTGGGTTGAAGGAGGGCTGCTGGGGGTTGCTGGCTATATACGGGGGAAGAGAGGGCTGGACCTTTGTTCGGCCTGTGGTGCTGGGAGGGGCTTCTCTGGGCCCCGTGCCTGGCTTTATGGCCCTCCTTGGCACAGATTTAGATGGATGGAGACACGCTGTTTTTCCTTCTGCTCAAAGGGACACCTGGAGCCCATGGAATGGTGCAGGCCACCCCACTGCTGAGCCGAGCCTGCCGAGGGATTTTTAATGAGCCTGTCCGAGGGCATTGGTGCTCGTGTGAGCTGACAGGCTGCCTGCTTTCCCATCTTAAGTGTTTCAGGAAACTGTCCTGCTTGGGAGGTTGAGGAGGCACCTGGGGCTGGAACAAAGGGAGTCTTGTTCTGTGGTTGATGGCCAGCGTCTGGTTTCTTCTTTCACACTTGCCCCGAGAAGGCCACATTCAGAAGTGGGCGAAGTTTTTGAAGAGGATTATGTAGGATCCAAGTATAAAAATGTTCTTTTTGTTTTCTGAGAGTTAAAAAAAGGTGATGAAGTGGGACACTCCTTTGCTACTGAAGTCCATCCCGATCCTTCAGCCGACTGAACTTGTCCTGACTCTCTAGAAGGGCATCGTTCTTCCTCAGTTCCTGTACCTTTGCTACATTACTGTTGTCTCCGCTTCCCGGCTGCGTCCCCTTTGCCCACCCTCATCTTCCTCCTCTCTGAAGATTTGGTGTCCCTCAAGGAAGCCATCCCATATCACCCCAGCTGGAAAGCACTCTTCTGTGCTCCGAATTTTTACCGCTCTCTGCTTTTTTACCACCTTTTGTCGCCTGAGGTGACTACTGCGTATGTGTAGATGTGTATTTTATTTGCAAAAAAGAGTGAGGACCTTTATGGAACACCTATCTCATGCACACACACCACACACATCAACACCCCCTCAACACCACTCACACCCACATACTACATGCATCACACACATCCACACCATATACCACGTATACCCCCCACACGTGTGTGCGTGTGCACACACACATACACCACACACATCAACACCCCCTCAACACCACTCACACCCACATACTACATACATCACACACATCCACGCCATATTACGTATCCCCCCCCCCGCAGATTGTCCTGGCAGGCTCAGTTTACTGAACATAAAGGCTCAGTTCTCACCACTCTTGGGCTTATGAGCCAGATCAAGCATCCCAGCCCCGAAACCTGTGGTAGATTTGAGTATTACTTCTCTGACCGTAGGAATGGGAGGTATCGTTGTGCCTTCTCCAAATAAACGTGTGCTTCCCTCTCATGTGATTTTTGGGTGTGGGCTTCAGGGAAACAACACAGGGAGTATCCCAGACTCCTGCCTGGTTCTGCCTTGGTTCTTACCCTGACAAAGGCAAACAAAGGGATGTCAATATTTGTATAAGCTAGGAATTGATTGGAAGATAAATCTTTTGGAAGGGAAAGCATCTAGGGAAACAGATTTGAGTCATTTATAAATGATTTTTGGATTATCTCTCATCCTTTGTCTGTGGACCACTGAGTAGAAGCTAAAGGATTATGATGGATTATTGAAGGGTTCTGGGGGGAGCGTGGGGGGCACTCCTCAGACTCTGAGGTGGATTGGCCCAGTGGCCTCACAACATTTGACTGGACAGAGATCTGTGTTTTCACTGTTCATGTCATTTCTGTCAGCAATTTGCACAGTCCTGAGCCTGTGGGGTCCAATATTTGATGTTTATGATGGCCTATGAGAAGTAAGCTTACCAACATTTGAGAGATTCTGAGTCTCAGTCATTTAGGGCTGTTTTCCTAAGATATATAGTCATGGCCTAGGATAGAAATGTATTTTCAGACTCTTCAGGTCAAATAAACCATTACGACTGCTTAATGAGAACCTGATATGAGCTCAATAATATAATGCTAACATTTATTGTTCCTAAGCACCTTATTTATACTGCTTAACTTAACTTCTACAATAAATCTATGCAGGAGGCACTGTACTAAGTGTCCTAAGCAGTGGGAAGAAATACATATGCACTGGCCATCTTGCCCTCAAGGACTGTTCAGTCAAAAAGCCATATAAACACATCACATGATTTAGGATTCTTAGCACATGAGGGCATTCCAGGGGAATACCCATTTTCCCAGGTAAAAGAGCTTTGCCAGAGGCCAGATGTATCTAAATTCAGCTTTTCCCTTGCTTTCAGTAGAATGGAAGGTTAGGGATCAGGTGTGCAAAGGAGGATTCATAACGTAAAGTGCTTTGTGGCCTGGAGTTAGTGCCCGAGTCCACGTGACTTCTTGCTTTAGGTAACTCAAATGTTGGCTTGAAAGTCAGCCTGTCAGAGAGGCACTATGTGGTGAACCCGCCCCCCCCCAAGAATACAGAAGATCTGATTGAGGAAAACAAAGCAGATCTTCCAGGTGTCGGGCAGATTTAGAACAAGGATATGAGTCATAGGGTTGGTAAAGGTTGCTGAGTGAAGAGTAAATGGGTTTTGTACTTTTCTTCCAGTTCCATTTTTCCTAGAGTTTTGTAACTTTCTGAAGGTCTCAAAAACGCTGGGAATTCTGTTGCCAATCATTAATTTAGACCTGCACACTTTGTGTTTGTGCACTGATGCGTAGTTTAACATGGAACAGGACAGAACTTGGAGCATGGGAGTAAGGAGGGCTCTCTGGGAGTCCTTGCTGAAGCTGCTGTTTAAATACTTCTAGAACTCTTGTTTAGGAATTGCTTTCAGATACTATGGCATATCTTTTTGAAAGTCTTCAGAAGCAGCAAATCTGGATCTTTAAAAATGGATTTAGTAAAATAGTTCAAATCACAGAAAAATTCATCTATCCCTTCACCCCTTGGATAAAATATCTCTCAAACCTCCTTAGGGTTGGAGGAGGTTGCTGGCTGCATGTAGAAGGGAGGGCTGGAGCTCTCTGGTAGAAAAAAAAAAAGGGATAAAAGAATAAGAGAATATCTTACAAGTGAATTTAAGTATTAGAAATAGCAAAAAATTAAAAAAGAAACAGCTTAAACTTTTTTGTAACATTTCAGGCTGGGAATTATAGATTTTTAAGAAATTGATAGAATGGCTTTTCTTGATTGGTTTATGAAGTGATACTGAAGGTATTTCTAGAATAAGATTATTAAAATTTTTGAGCAATGATGACTAATTAAACTATCAGCTCTCAAGCTGGTTTTATTAAAGCAGATTAATTTGGACTTACACATTCTGATCAGTTTGTAAAAATTTCAAAACAAAGACCCATTTAGTGTGTGATAGTCACCATATAATCTCAGTCCTCCTGTCTTCCTTCCCTCCTCCTTTCTACCCACACCCTCACCCACATACACCGATTTGCTGCCCTGAGTGGCAGCAGAAGCAAATATTTCCAAGCCCCAGAGCCTGACAGAACAAGCTCTCTCCTGCTGGGTAAAAAGCAACACGTTGAGTTATTTCCATGAACTTTTGGGCTGTTCGCACGTCAGGTGGACCTCCAAGGATCTGGCAGTGTATGTGTGTGTGTGGGGGGGGTGCTCCCTCTTCCACAGAGTTCTGTTATGAAAACCAGTGTGGTTCCTTCTGTCTTCCACATGTTTCCTGGCACTCTTTAGCTGCCTGTGCTTGTGTTTTTCCCTCACTAGGGGAAGCTACATGACCCTCAACTCATGGGGATCATCCCAAGGATTGCACATGACATCTTTGACCACATCTATTCCATGGATGAAAACCTGGAGTTTCACATCAAGGTAAGTGCTATTGATTAAGTCTAAAGAGAAAAAACTGGGCCCCAAATCATGTTTTAGTTTTCCTCTTTTTATGTATACATAAAAGATTATTTTGATCTATTTTAAATGAAATGCTGTGGTAAGCAAAGCAGGCGAATACTAAGGAAATATCGAGATAAAAGCCTTCTTTAGGATGGAATCATCTTGATGGTTATCTGAATTCTACCCTTTACCCAGTGGATTTCTATAGATATGACTGGAATGTGTCCGTGATTGGGTTAGGACAGCATTTCCCAAAGTGTGTTCCATGGAACACAGTACCTCATATTATTAATAGGTGGGCTATCAGGGAAAAGGCTTATGGGGCCAGATAAGCTGGGAAAATGTTTTGTTGAACAGTGTTAAATTCATCACAAGTTTAATATGCTATTATGTAATCCAATTCTACAAGGGGGACATGTAGTAGATTACATTTTCCAGCTTATTTGACTGTGTACATATTTTTCCCCTTTTGAGGTTATGATGGACTGGTGTTTTGAGGGGCACACTGTGACAAGTGTTGGGGCAGGGTGTTATCCTTCCTGGTTTTTGTTTTTAAACCAGAACCTCTGTTCCAACTTAAATTTGAATTGAAAGATTTTTCCTCTCTTAACTATAGCTGTTAATTTATAACATTGGATATTAAGGATACATTCATTGGAACTCCTTTGTTTTCAAGTAACTGAAAGCCACTTGTTTAAGCAAATAGAGGAAGTTGTTACAAGATACAAAATTGTTAGTAGGCGTGGGGCTCAGGGATTGTGGAAAAGCAAGAAATCCAGACCCTGCTCTTCCTTTAAAAATTTTTTTAAATTAAAAAAAATTGAGATATAATTCATATAATTCATTTACCATAAAATTCATTTTTTAAAAGTGTACAGTTTGATGGTTTTTATTATATTCCCAGAAGTATACAACTGTGATCACTATCTAATTCCAGAACATTTTCATCACACCCAAAAGAAACCCCATCCCGGTTAGGGTCCCTGCATTTCTCTCTGCTTGCTTTATCTTTTTGGGGGGGAGGTGGGTAGGGGGAGAAGGCACCATGGCCACTCCTGTTCCATATCCCTTATTCCCAATTCCTAATTCCCCAGGGAAGGGGCTCATTGGCCTAGCCTAGAGTTGGGTTGCCCCCAGCTCTGACAAGCTCTGTCCAGGATGCACATGGCTGGCTGGGTCCCCACCACAGCGACTGGGAACGGTGTGGACAGGGGATGGGGAAGAGACAGGGTCAGTTCTAAGAAGAAGACTTAGAGCAGAGCAGATGAGCCAAGAGGCTGACCATGCCTTTTGAGGCAGGGACCTTAGTGCACTAGGCCCATCGTTTTAGACATGAAGAACCTGAAGTTTCAAGACAATAGCGCTGGATGGCCAAAGTCACACATCGGTTGTTGGCTGAGCTGAGATTAGACTCTTGATCTGACCAACCCTACATGCAGCACCTTTCCCATTATCTTAAACTTCTGCCCTTGCTTACTTCTGCTATGTACCTTTCCTAAATTATATCCAAACAAGGCAACAACTATTTGCTCCATCATAAATTAGATCCAGGAAGTCTTTTTACTTTACAAATCTTTTTCCTCCCTTTGTTGGCTAACACAGGTGTCTCCTTGCCAGGGTTCTTTATATCGAAGGATACAGAAGCCTGTAGCTTTGATGGGATCAAGATTTAGGAGCTTACTACATCTTTAAGGCTGTTTGCATTTAAATACCTTAAACTACTGTAGGGTTCTTATGGGATAATCCTGGAATAAGATGTTAAACCAATTATTGCCCTCAAAGTAGGGTCTTGTAGTAGAATCTTATTAAGGTAAAAACAGCCCCAACATGGGGTGGGGAGAGGGGGGTGGCGGGAAGAGAAGGAACAGCACCCAAGTCTCCAGGGCTGAATTTACAGTCTTCCTGTTCTGCATTTGTAGTTATGCTCACTTATTTCATATATCATAATTGCAAGTGGGCAGGATAGCTATTGACTGCTCCATATTTTGAACTGAGTAGTGACAGTCTTAGTCAAGAAAAAGAGGCTTGATTAAAGCAGTATTGAAAATCTGTTCCTTAAAGTGAGCCCCATAGAGGTTCTAAATGTTATTTCTGAACATGCTATGTCTTAATGCAAAAGAACACCTATTTATTTTTCTTCCACCTGGTCTCACAAAGTATTTGAAATGACAAAAAAAAAAAAAAAAATCGTCCCTCCCCTCGTCCCCCAAAAGCAGCCAGTATCTTCTGTGGTAAAAAGAAATTAATAAATCAGAGGTTATTTTTTTTCTTCTCATATTAAATGTGAACAGGATTTTAATTGCCATATTTGCTAAATATGTAATTTATGACTGCTTCTTAGTGTAATTAATTTCTCTGCAGTCTCTGGAAATAAGGACACGTGTACATCTCAAAGATAACAGAAGTCTTAATGAAACTAGACAATTTTGAGATGCACAGAATGGGTTGGAACCAGGCTTGAGTTGGCTACAGGGAGGCTGATTTAGAGATGTCTAAGATTAGAGGTCAAACAGATCTAGGATTCTAGCCACAGGGAGAAGTTTCAGGAGCAGTGAGTCTTTCCAAGGTCAGCTAGGTGTGTCTGTGACGCACGAGGCTTGGTGACTGGGGAGTTTGACAGATAATCTGGCAAGTTCAGGTTGTTAGGCAGAGGGCAACTTGGAGGGGATGCCCAGCTACACATTCCAGGGTTCGAAGCCAAGACCCCAGATCTCAGAGAAACTGGGAAGTCAGGAGGCTCCAGGACAAGGTAATGAACGGGACTGAGGGGTGAGGACTAGTACTGGGTTGGGGAGGCTTCACTGCCCCCAACCAGAGGTCCAAGAGCTAGGATGCAGGGGTGAGGTTTCACCTATGGAGTTACACCCCAGCTTCACACTGTTCTTTCAACTTTTTTTTCTTTCTTAACAACTTGTTTGTTGATTCCTTTGTTTAGGTTTCAAACCCCTCCCCCCGGCCATCAACATGAGAGAAAGAAAGTTGATCTGGGAGGTGGAAGGCAGGTGTAGACAGAGTGCAGAATCCTAGAGAGATTTTTGATGTCATTAAGTCCAATAGTTTCATTTGACAGATGGGAAAACCGAGGCCTATAGTCTTGGTTACATGTGAATTAAACCTCCACGGTCACATGTCTAGTTAAAGTTGTTCTCAGGTGTCAGCTGGTATAAGAACCACCTAGGGAGTTTAGAAACCAATTCCTTAGTCCTTGGAGATTCTGATTCAGGAGGTCTGCAGCTGGGTTCATGACTCTGCAGTTTCTACAAAGGTCTGAGTGAAGCTGATGCAGGTGGGGCTGGGGCTGGGCTCTGAGGATAATTGATTGGAAGGCTTCCTTTCCTCCTCACAGTCTAGTCTGTCTCTCACTAAATCCCATTTTGTTCCAACCTTTCCTGGCCTCCCCAAAGCTGGCCACCATCAGCAGCTCTCTCCCTGTTACCTGGAGCTCTTGTAGCTTCAAGCAAACTGCCCTTATCCCCGTCCCCACTTCCTTCATGCGGATGTTTGGACCTGGTCTGGTGAGGGGGTCAACATCATGCATGAGGAGATGCCAACTGATTTTGACAATTACTCGCCAAGACCGTTTTCTGTTCCAGCCTTGGTCCTACTTAGAAGTTTGCTTGGTGGTCATCGAGGGTGAAGGGTAGAGTCCACCCGTAAGTGGCTGTCTAGTGCACAATGTAAGGAGCACCTGAATCGAGACCACAGGGGCTATACGGCGTAGGGGGTGGCCCAGCCCGGGCGGGGGCCCCTCAGAGCAGGCTGACGTAGCAGGAAGCAGGAGAGTGCAGGAGAGTCGGCTGGGGCTCTGTGCTGCAGGCCTCTGGATCCAGCTTTCTGCCCCCCTTCTTGCTCTTCTTAACTGTGCATGACGAAGACTTTTATGAGGTCTAATAATGATATTTTTCAAATACAGCATGGCATTTCTGTTTCAAACTCAGTTTGTTCTTAACTAGGTTTCCTATTTTGAGATCTACTTGGACAAAATCAGGGACTTACTCGATGGTGAGTAACCTGAATGCTTGTCCTCTATTTGTTCTTTAACTAAGGTCTAGGGAGGTTGAAGTGATTCACGGCTCTTCTGCTTAAGGAATTAATGAAAGTTTATAGAGATGTTTTATTGCCTTTACACTATCTGCTTATTCTTAGCCAAGGCTTAAACTTGTGTATGGCAAAGAGATTAGATTTGCCTATCTTCGGTAACAATTTCTCTTTTTCCTTCAAGACAGAATCTTTAACTTTTCTTTTCTCCTCTGCATGTCGTCATTATTTGCAGTGTCCAAGACGAACTTGGCTGTCCATGAAGATAAAAACAGAGTCCCGTACGTAAAGGTATGAGGAAGCCTTGATGATGCAATTGACTTCTCTCCTGTCACTGTCATCATAATGGTTACCAGATATGCCCCGAATATTCCCTATAGAGTGTATGTAGGTGTTTCATCATGTTCCTTCTATTTAATATCCATCTGGTTAAAAAACAGACATTTGATTTCTTCAGTCGTATCCCTGTGTGAATGTATCACAGATGTCTAATCATATGAGGTAAGTGGAGAAGTGAACAAGTATTTATTAGTCACATGTAAAGAGGCTTTGCTAGTGGAGATAATTGTGTATACTTTGCAGTGAGAGCAAGCCTATCATAGCATTATGCCGAGAACTTCCAAGTGTCTAATTAAAGTTGGTGGCTAGCATGAAAGGCAAAGCAAAATTTCATCCATTTCTTTTTCTGTCACTGGTGTTCTTTATTTTCTATTTCTACTCCTGTTGAGTATGCACATGTACTTAAAAGTCTAGGGAAAAGCTGGCATTCCTTTTATGGTTTACTTCTGGGTTTCCTAGGGTTTGCTCAAACTTCTCTTTGATGTAGAACTCAAGCCATGAGCCAGGAGGAAGAGCTGTTGGACCAACATGGCAGCCTTTGGAGAAATGGGAGAATGTTTAGCTGTCTTCAAATAGAGTTGCTTTCCAGTTTTTTTTTTTTAATTTTAATAACCAATTTTTAGATCAGTTTTAGGTTTACAGAAAAACTGAGCAGAAAGTACAGACAGTTCTCATCTACCACCCCCATTCCCTTATTATTACTATCATGCATCTGTGTAGTACATTTGTTATAACTAATGAACCAATATTGATACATAATTACTAACTAAAGTCCATAGTTTACATTAGGGCTACTCGTCATGTTATTCAATTCTACAGGTCTTAATAAAAGTGTAATATCATGCATTGTCTATTACAGAATCTTACAGAACAGTAGGAAGAAGATACCAGTTTGTTTGTTTTAAAGATTTTATTTATTTATTTGACAGAGAGAGACACAGTGAGGGAGGGAACACAAGCAGGGGGAGTGGGAGAGGGAGAAGCAGGCTTCCTGCAGAGCAGGGAGCCCGATGCGGGGCTTGATCCCAGGATCCTGGGATCATGACCTGAGCCGAAGGCAGATGCTTAACGACTGAGCCACCCAGGCGCCCCAGCTTTCTAGTTTCTAATGGTTAACCTGATCTGACTCTTTTCCAGGGGTGTACCGAGCGGTTTGTGTCAAGCCCCGAGGAGGTCATGGATGTGATAGATGAAGGCAAAGCAAACCGACACGTGGCTGTCACAAGTAAGCATGGGGTGGTGTTTCCTCCCCTGTCACTCGGGATACGAATGTCTGCTCACGCACTGGGAGGGGTGGGTAATGAGGTCCCAAGCAAATAATGCCGGGGAAGGCAGTTATGAAGCAGTGGCTCGGAAGCAAGCACACAGGAGTGTGCAGGACGAGAGTGTCTCAGCAGGTCGTGGGAAGCATGCCTTCTGCCGTTCAGGGAACTCTCAGGAATACTGGATGAGGCTCGCTGGGCCCTGGTAGCCCCCTACATCTGGACACTGGGGAACACCCCCAATCAACCAAGGAAAGGGGGTTAAAAGTCAGCTTCTAAATAACCACGTTATTGTTCAGGTTAAAAAAAAATGCAAGCCAACACATTTTATATGCCAGTCATATGTGTGGAAAGAAACCCCAGTAGATTTCTACCCTGTTTAGAAGAGGAAAAGAAAAGCAAGGAGGAGCTCAGGAAGTGGAGCTGGGAGCTTTATTGAAAACCTTCCTATGCCATGTTAATAACAAACACATTCACGGCCAGCTTGTTTACCTTGCAGTTCCTTCCTTGGTGTGCATACACGTCTCTGGGAAGCAGGTCCTATATTAGAGCAGCAGAGGTTCCGGTCCCCCATCTTTGGGCTGGCTATCTCATTCTGAGGGGTATGGACAAATCAGAGGGAGTTCGTAGGAGGAGGAGTTGAGAGAACTAGGGATTTCTAGCTTGGAAGAAAGAAAATCTCTGAGGAGAACATAGGGACAGTGTAATATATTTCTTAACATGTTCAAGGTGCTGACATTAAGAAAGTCGGTTTGCTTTGTATGAACTGCATGGGTAGGCCACCCAAGATTGTCGAAGCTACCAGGAGGCAGGTTTTGACCGACCACAAGAACTCTCTGCTCCTGATAGCTGCCCCAAGGAAAGCCGGCTACTTGGAGGGGCAGGATTCCCTGTAAGGTATACAAGAGATGGAAGCATTGGTTGGTTCACTGGTCTAGCCTAAGTCTCTTCCACCCAAGGCTCTGTGATTCTGTCACCCAGTACCATAATTCTCTACCTTTTCTGTACCCTCACATCCTATCAGAGGATATTCACACATGAGGCAGATTTCACAGGTGAGCCTAGACTAATGTATACAGTGTAGGTTAAATTTCTTTCTCTTCTGCTTTTACATACACTTGAAAGAACGTAAGACTGATATTCTTATAGTAATAGCATCTCTCATTTATGAAGAAGTTATTTATTTGAATTTTTAAGCTATTGTTAGTTGTGAATTATTCACGGCATACTTGACAATCCGTCTTGGTCCCTTGGTTCAGAACTGTAGGTGCAGAACATTAATTATTTTTCTTATCGTTCTGGTAAGGTGGTTTTTAAAATTACGCATAACAGAACTTACCATTTTAACCATTTTTAAGGGTATAATTCAGTGGCATTAAGTCCACTCATAATGTTGTGCCATCACCACTGTCTGTTTCCAGAATTTAATAACCCCAAAGTTAAACCCCAGCCCATTGAACCATACCTCCCCATACTTCCCTGGTAACCGCTATACTACTTTGTCTTCCAGTGAATTGGACAACTCTAGGTATACCTCATAGAAGTGGAGGGATACAAGTCCTCTTGTGACTGGCTTGTTTCACATAGCATAATGTCTTCATGTTGTAGCATGTGTCAGAATTTCCTTTCTTTTTAAAAATGCTGAATAATATTCTGTTGTAGGTATATATTACATTGTTTGTTCATTCATTCACAGATAGACATGTGGACACTTGTGTGGCTCCCACCTTCTGGCTATTGTGAATAATGCTGCTATGAACATGGATGTATATATATCTGTAGAAGCTTCTGTTTTCTGTTCTTTTGGGTATATATACAGAAGTGGAATTGCTGGATCATATGTCAACTCTACTTTTAATTTTTTTAGGAACTGCCACACAGTTTTCCATTGTAGTTGCACACAATTTTACATTCCCACCAACAAGAGTGCGCGAGAGTTCCAATTTCTCCACATCCTTGCCGATGCTTCTTAGTTTCTATTTTTGTTTTTAACAGCCATACTAATGGGTGTGAAGTGTTATGTCATGGTGGTTTTGATTTGCATTTCACTAATGACTAGTGATGTTTGGCATTTTTTCATGTGCTTATTGGCCATTTGTAGGTTGTCTGAAGAAATGTCTGTTCAGGTCCTTTGCTCATTTTATAATTGTTTTTTTTTTTTTCTTGTTGATTTATAGGAGTTCTTTATATATTCTGGATCTCAATTCCTTATCAGATATACGATTTGTGAATATTTTCTCTCATTCTGTGGGGTGCCTTTTCATTCTGTTGATGCTGTCCTTTCATGCATAAAAGTTTTTAATTTTGATAAAGTCCAATATATCTGTTTTTTACTGTTGCTTGTGGTTTTGGTATTATTTCCAAGAAATCATTGCCAAATCCAATGTTATGACATTTTTTCCCCTATGTTTTCTTCTAGGTTTTATTGTTTTAGCTTTTACATTTAGGTTTTTGATTGCTTTTGAGTTAGTATATGGCCTAGGTAAGAGTCCACCTTCATTGTTTTTGCATGGGGATATACAGTTTTCAATTTGGTAAAGAGACTTGTTTTCCCATCAAATGGTCTTGACACTCTTGTTGAAAATTATTTTACCATTTTATGTGAGGGTTTATTTCTGGGCCCTCATTTGTCCTTCTCTATGTTTGCCGTTATGCCAATGCCACACTGTCTCATTATTGTGGCTCTGTAGTAAGTTTTGGAATCAGTAAGTGTGAGACCTCCAATGTTGTTCTTTTTCAAGATTGTTTTGTCTATTCGGGGTTCCTTGAGATTCCTTATGAATTTTAGGATGGACTTTTCTATTTCTGCAAAAAAACATGACTAGGATCTTGATACTGATTGCATTAAATCTCTAGATTGCTTTTGGTAGTATTGCCATTTTCACGATGTGAAGTCTTCTGATCCATAGACAAGGAATGTCTTTCAATTTATAGGTGTCTTCTTACATTTTGTAGTTTTTATTCTTTTAAAATTTTTTAGAAGATTTTATTTATTTATTTTTAAGTAATCTCTACACCCAACATGGGGCTTGAACTTATAACCCTGAGATCAAGAGTCACATATTCTACTGACTGAGCCAGCTAGGCACCCCTCATTTTGTAGTTTTTAATGTACATGTCTTTTACTTCCTTGGTTAAGTCTATTCCTAAGTATCTTACCCTTTTTGCTGATATTTTATTTTATTTTATTTATTTTAGAGAGAGAGAGGGAGAGAGTGCGTGAGTCGGGTGGGGGCAGAGAGAGAATCCCAAGCAGGCTCCATGCCCAGTATGGAGACGGACGCCAGGCTTGATCTTATGACCCTGAGATCATGGCCTGAGCCAAAATCAAGAGTTGGATGTTTAACAGACTGAGCCACCCAGGTGTATCTCTTTTTGTTATATTTTAAATGGAATTATTTTCGTTTCAGATTGTTTATTGTTAGTATATAGAAATGCAACTGATTTTTACATATTGCTTTTGTATCCTGCAACTTTGCTGAATTCATTTATTAATTCCTACATAATTTTTGTGGAATCTTTAACTTTTTCCCCCATATATTCTGGAAAGATTTTTGGGGGGGGCCACCAGAGGAAGCAGCTTTTATTCACAAGTTATCTCCAGAAACCAAAAAGCTTATGTACCTACCTTCAGCACCTCCTATCCTTCCTGGAATTCTCGTTGCTCCACCTGGGGAAGGGAAGAGATACAAACTGCCTTTTGGTTTTCCAAAGCCCCAGTCTTTCCCTCCCTCTGTAGTCTTAGACATTCAGTAGCAATACTGTTGTTTATTTTTTCAGCAATGCCTGAAGCAGCTACTTAGTAACAGTTATGGGTGAAGGGGTGGGGAAGTAGTTGGATGATTAAGAGTGATGCACAGAAAACAGGAACATAGCCTATCAGAGGTCCTTCTGTCTTGCCTCAGTGGCTTGATCCTTCATTGGTTGCATTTCTCTTTACACTGGATCACACACCTTTCTGAATCAGATTGGGAATTTCCACTATCAGCCATGGAGTCAGCCCCAGAGCCATGAGATGAGCTAGTCCAAACTTGGGCACATTCCTGGCCCACAAAGGCTTAAAGGGCTCGGTTAGGCATATTTTGCCACCCCTTATTCATCTTTGCTGTTTTTCCATTGAGTTCAGGGGCTGTAATTTTTGGAGCCATAGTAGGATATGTGATAGGAATGTCAAACTTCATGTCAGACTCATAGTTCAGGAGGTCATGGATGCACCAGCATTTTCCAAAACACTGAGTCCCTTCCTTGTTGGACTCCAGTTGGAATCAATCATTGTCTGCATTCTTGTTGTTTTCCACATACCAGATAAGAGACTGATATTCCTCTTTGAGTCCTGTACCCCAACTCATGATCTTGAGGTCCAGCATTAGTCTTCAGCCATCTTGGACAAGGGTGCCTGGAAAATTGGTTTTAAGAAATGATTGCTAGTGAGGGTTGAAGAAGACTATCACTGGGATCTCTGCTTGCCTAGTTAACAGAGACCAGGGTCCAAAAAGATATCTATTTCTATTTTTTTTTAAAGATTTTAATATTTATTTGACAGAGAAAGAGATAGCGAGAGCAGGAACACAAGCAAGGGGAGCGGGAGAGGGAGAAGCAGGCTTCCCTCTGAGTAGGGAACCCGATGCCGGGTTCGATCCCAGGACCCTCGGACCATGACCTGAGCCGAAGGCAGATGCTTAACGGACTGAGCCACCCAGGCGCCCCCAAAAAGATTTCTATTTCTAGTACTCAGTACTAATGAAGCATATTTAATCTTTGAGAACTTCTACGTGCCTAGTATGGGTTATAGAACTCTAAGGAAAAAAAGTCTTAAATCTTAAGGTCATAATCCTTCCTTAAGAAAGCTTGTGATATTATGGATAAGGCAAGGCTTACACACATGATGAAGACGGAATACACTGGGTCCTAACCGCGATGACAAAGGCTGAGGGACTAAAGGTGAGGGGGGAGGAAGCTGTGAGCTCTTTGTTCTTTTTTTTTTTTTAAAGATTGTATTTATTTGAGGGAGAGAGCACGAGTGTGAGAGCACAAGCAAGGGGGTGGCAGAGGGAGAAGGAGAAGCAGACTCCCCTTGGAGCAGGGAGCCAGACACGGGGCTGGATCACAAGATCCTGAGACCATGACCTGAGCTGAAGGCTGATGCTTAACCTACTGAGCCACCCAGGTGCTCCAGCTGTGAGCTCTGTGAGGCTGAGGGTCCATGGGGGCTTCAGGCAAAGCTAGAGAATCTGTTCTCTTGAACCATCCACTGAGATTCTTAATTTCTTTGCCATGTGAAGATACTTTAAATCTCTCTTGTCTTTTTAAAAGAAACCGTGGTCTCAGATACTTTTTAAAATTGGCTGGACTTTAAAAAATGGAGCTGTTGAGCATGATTTGTTGTGCTTTTTAGATGAGAGGCTTGCTACCTAAACTTCTTATTCTTTGCAGAGCAGTAAACTATTTTCCTTTTCAGACATGAATGAACACAGCTCTAGAAGTCACAGTATCTTCCTGATTAATATTAAACAAGAGAATGTAGAGACCGAAAAAAAGCTCAGTGGGAAGCTTTATCTAGTTGATTTGGCTGGGAGCGAAAAGGTAATTGGTTCCTTATTTGTATTATCTATAATTTTCCCTGTTATTTGCTTCAGTGTGCAATGGTATAATTTTTATACCCTTTCTATTCCCTGGTTTTAAAGAGCTTTTAAAGTTTCTGGTATTGTGCCAAAATGCTATTAAATTTCACCTTCGTTTCCCTGCTCTCTTTTCTGGTCCTGAAGTCACAGGAGGTGCTTTGAATGCCAGCTCGGATTTATGCTTTATAGGCCCCAGTTGATGACATTAGGCAAGTGCTTGGTGTGTGCTTAGCCCGGTAGAGGCAGTTTTGCACATGGCGGAGGGACATGATCTTCTGTGGAAAGGGAAGATCCCCGTGTTGTACCAGATTCAAATAGACCAAAAACGGACTTTGCCACTGGGCCGTGGCAGTCCTGCCCCTGCACGTTTGTTTGCTGATAGAAGATCTGGAACCTGGGGCTGTCACTGCATTCCCTGCTTCTCTCTGCAATGGGTGTGGTCTGACAGGGACTCATGTGGGCAGCCTCCCACTTCCTTCAGGCCACGCACCAGGCGCCTAGCCAGGGGTGTGGCCCAAAGCCCTCTCCCTTCTCTCTCTGGTTTTGTGAGGGCTCTCTTTTGGCATCTGTCCCATGCTCTCCTAGGCACTGGCTGAGGTCATACTCTAGACCAAACAGGCTCCCCAGAACCTTCTACCTGTTCCCTCCTAGCCTCACCTCCATAGCACACTGCCAGAGGAAGCTGCCACACCCTGCCTGGGGGCACTGCTCCCCTCGGGCGACCTCACAGAGCAAGTCCCTGTGCACAGTACCATGTGGCCTCCGTCATCGCTGACAGTGCTGACTGTCCCCAGGGGCAGCCCTGAGGCTCGGCCAGTCTCCTGAGCTGTGCAATTGATCCCCACTTATTGCACCCCACCGCTGAGTTGCTATATGCCACATTATGGCCACTAACATCCATGTAAGTAATGGCTACTTGAAATGTTCTCCTGTACACATCTGTAAAGCCATGAGCGCAGTCATGTGGATGTTCCTGGAAGATTGTCTGGTTGGGAATCTAAAATTTTACTGGTACAACCTTGTAACTTTAATGAAACAGACATGCACCAGAATAGGAAGACGGAGCAGCATCGTTTAGTTCTAGACTGAACGTTGGCAACCAGGCTGTGCTTTGCTGCCTCAACAGCTGTGTGGGTCTGGAGAAAGAGCCCAGTGGCCCCTTTGTTCTTCCCGAGTTTGCTCTCTTTCCCTTCTGAGCACAGAGGGAGTATTTGGGGCTGGAAACAGCTCAATGCTGCCAGTTGAGTGTGGAGGCCTGTCCTCTGCACAGTGTCAGTGGTTATTGCTTATGATATTTGTGGGGCATTTTAAAGTTGCGGACCTGTACCTTGTTTCTTTCACTCCCATCTGTCTTCCTTTGCCCTAGATGTGTCCACATGAATGTGTCAGTCAGTGTGATCTATTAGAACGAACTCTGGGCTTTAATCCCCAACTCCCCTAAATGGTGCTCTTGCCTTGGGCTGGCAGTTTGACATCTCTGGAGCTCAGAGTTTCCTTGTCTGTGGAAATGGAAGGCAGTTGTACCTGTCTTGCATATTTCGTGGAGTTCAGATGCTCAGATAGGAAAGCACCTTAAACCACACCGTGTGAATAGGCTGTTATGGGTGACCCGTCAGCTGTATTATTTCTCTGTCCGCAGTGGTGTCTATACACACCCAATTCTCAGAGAGATGAGTATCTATCGTGTTTGAAAACACTGCCCCCCTTGCACATGCATTCGTTTCTATCCCTCGGGGTCTCTCCTTTATCCCTCATGACCGTCAGTCTTGGTGCAGTTTGCGGTCAGTTCCCTGCCGTCCTGTCTTCAGAGAGGAGCTGCTCCTCCTGCATTGTTTGTCCAGCCAGCTGGGCCGGGGAGCACGTTGGCTTCCCTTTCTCCTTAGCATCTGTAAGCTGCTCTCTACCTAGAGCAGAGACTGTCAATAGCAAATTGCCAGGAATAACACAGCAGAGGAGGAACCGTACGTGGTTCCCCTGGCTGCAGAGAAGAGACAAGTCCACAATGTAATATACACTTTCTTGACTTTGTGATGCCCCCAAGTATCTTTCCTTTTGGACGGTCTTTCCCTTTTTCCTTGTAGCAGAGTCAGTAAGGCAGGGAACAGAGAGTCTGGACAACCCTCCACCACCTCTTGTCCTTTGCCTGAAGGTGGAGCTCCTAAGGTACACTTCCCCAAAATGTCCATTCATTGTGGCCAGGACAGTGTTTTCGCATCACGCTTGCCCCTGGGCTCCCTCCGGCGAGGAGGCCGTGGCTCAGGCTGGCAGGGCCCCAGCCTTTCGGTAGTGACAGCACTCTTGGAGCCTGGTTTCCCTAGATGGATGTCCCCCAGGGAAGCATCTGCAACTCCACCACTGGAAGCATTTCAGCCATTCCCCTAAAACCTAATTGAGAGGAAAATGACAACAAGACAGAACAAATCCCCAGCCTCAGGCACAAGGGGAGGTTTGATCAACATGATTCTTACTTACTTTTATTTTTTCTTGCGTTCCAGGAGGATTCACATCCGCCTCCCTCAATCCCCAGCCCTGCGCCCTCCTGTGAATTGGAATTTTCTACTCTGTGCTTTTGCTGTCCTGTGCAGCTCACTGCTTTCTCTTCTCTCTGGTAGGTCAGCAAGACCGGTGCCGAGGGGGCTGTTCTCGATGAAGCTAAAAATATCAATAAATCTTTGTCTGCTCTTGGAAATGTGATCTCTGCCTTGGCAGAAGGGACAGTAAGTGATCCTATCCCCCTCTATTAAATGATATTATGAGAAGTCACTTTTTGGGTCTGTGTCCTCTCTTTGCCACATACCCCAGAGATTAGTTTGTTTTTCTTTGGAAAGGAGCAGAGGGAATCCTGGCTGTAGACAGCCTACTTGCTGGGAGATCTAGTCCATTAAAATGTATGAATGGTGATGCTAATTTCCTATGACCCAGGTCCCAGACTGGGCACTCTATAAACGTTGGCCAAATCCAAAGACTGGGCAACAAATTCTTATTTTACACATGTTTCTAAGCCCAGTGTCCCCATCGCTAACTTGCTTGTGTTTTCTCTGTGAATGGACAATGGCTGTAATAGCCAATACTTTTTTTTTTTTTCCTAAATAGAAAACACACGTGCCATACCGGGACAGCAAGATGACTCGGATTCTTCAGGACTCTCTGGGTGGGAACTGTAGAACCACCATTGTTATTTGCTGTTCTCCCTCTGTCTTCAATGAGGCTGAGACCAAGTCAACACTGATGTTTGGGCAAAGGTGGGTGTGGTCTCTCGCTCCCATGCTCTGAGTGAGTTGGGGAGGGGCTAGTGTCCGCGAGGACGTAGAAGGAGGGGCAAGCAGTCCCTTACGAAATTGCAGCTGGCAGGTGTTGCTTGTAAACTTGAGGTACCGTTGACCGAGGCCAAAAGAATAATTATGTTTTAAAAGAATCCACAGATAAATGCCAATCAGAGGTATGATATTTTTTAAAAAATGCTTAGACTTATTATAGATGTGACTGCTGGTAATTCAGTGGAGTGTTGCTTTTGTTCTTCACGGAATTAAGTCTTATTCTTGGGTTCACAGGATTTCAAGTGTGTACAGCTCAAGACTGATAGCTACCTTTAATTCCAATATTTGGGAACCATTACAGAGTTGCTAATAGAAAAGCCAGAAACTTGGATGAATATAGAGTAGTTGCATAAATATAAAAGGAGGGGCGAAGGAAATCCTCATACGCACTCTGGGAGTGGGAGGTACACCGTGGGTACTGAGCAGAGGGCACAGTGGCGGCCATCTTCCCACCTTTGGAAATGTCTGAATGAGATTTCCGGGATCTCGGAGAACTAACAGGTGGGCAGCAGGACAGTGCGGTCGGTAATCCCAAGACGAACATTCACGTGTGTGGGTTAGTGCGGGCCTTCCTGCCCCGTCCTGCCCAGCACCCCCTGCTGCCCAGAGCCCGCCTCCTTCAGCCACGGCCCCTTGGTGCCAGTTCAGTATGTGGGTTCCAGTGCCACCATGCCGTTCAGTTCTGAACAGTTGTGCAGTCTTCAGAGAAGTCACCAGTTCTCTATGGGCTTCACCTGCCTTATTTGTAAACGGATGCACAAAGCTCTCCCCCTGCCTTCCTCCTGGGAGTGTGTTGTGTGGTCATGCTTGAGAAACAGGTTAAGATGTCTAGAGAAAGGACAGATGGGGGTGGGCAGGCCACATGGGAAATTGTTAGGGCTTGTTTAAACTGCATTAAACCCCAGCCATTTCCTGAGCCCACAGCAGAATATAGAATTACGCAGTCATGGCACCTGTGGGATGTCTAAATAAATAATAATTACATTGAACTATTGTAGAACTAATCTATCTTTTAAACTGGATTTGGGTCCTTTACTTCTCAGATCACTTCCTCTAGTAGTCAAATGCTTAGGTCATTGGATTGCGGGAGGATAACGCCCACTTTTCTCAAGGGTCATGGGTTACCTATAAACCAGCATCTGCTTATGGGAAACACAGAATACTGTGGTGATCAGCTTGCCTGTCCTGTCTCTCCTGGTTTCTTCATCTTAAGCTTTAACATTTTTTTTTTCCAAAGACATGTTTGAGCAAACCAGCACCAAATGCATTTATGGAGGAAACATCTCTTTAAAAAAAATTTCTGACGTGCTAAGTAAAACTAATCTGAATCTTTGCAAGCCAGGGCTGTCCTGGGGCATGGGCTGTCTGTCTCAAGGCTGCTGCTGTGAGTGGGCATTTGCAGCTGTCTAGAGGAAAAGTCTCAGTATAAGTCCAAATGATTAACTTCTTTTCTTCTGACCTTAGTGAGGCAATCGTCAGCATTGTCATGATCGCTAGGGCCCAGCACATGCTGGGAGTGCCAAATCCTTGTAGCAGCTCCTATCTCAGTGTGTACAGAAGATGACATTGAGGCTTGGACTCGAAGCTGTTAGGTGCTGCCCATGAGCCCACGTAGCCAGTAAATGACTAAACGTGTAGGGGGCTGTGGGATTTGACCCACAGCTTCTTCTATGCAGGCTGCTTGATCAGGATCCTTGATGTGCTCGGGCCTCTGGATCAGTTACAGTTTTGAAGCCAAGTTCTGCTACCGATCCATTCCTCTCTCCTGTTTACTTCTCTCCGAGCTTCTCTGTCCTCGCCTGTAGGGAGAACTCGAATGCCTACCTCTGAGAATTGTTGGGAGGATTAATGAGTTGCTTCAGCTTTGACTTAGCACAGGGGTGGGCTGGCATGTGGTAGGGTGTTCATAGGTTGCAGGTTTCCCTTTGCCTCCCTCTTCGACAGTGTGCAGGCTGGGAAAGTCCCAGAACAGATGGGACTGTACGGAGTGGAATGGAATGTATGGGATAGACTGGGGGAGAAGGGACCGGACTGAGTGACGTAAAGTAAGAAGGAAGTTTCTAGAATGAAAGACTAAAGAAATACTGATGCTAATTTGGGGTTCCAGGAAATAAAAATAAAATGTCAATTATCTTTCCAACTGGAATAGGTTGGTCTGCCATCTTTTATCAGAGTCATCTGGATACTAGGCTCCATGAAGGTAGGAACAGGGGTTATCATCCGTGTCAGTCATCCCAACAAGCATCCAGCACAACTAGTATACAGTAGACGGTCATTGAATAAATGCTTATCGAATGAGTGAACAGATGAATCCAATGCTTGTTGCGTAGGATTCCTTAGAACATTAGGGCAGGTGTTGAACTGTGACACCATTATGTCCAGGAGTTTGGTTAGGTTTAGATCTGGTGTGTTTTCCAGCTCTATAATTAGAAAGGCGTGAGGTTTGGTTCCTCTCCCTCTATCCCTTAGTTAGTTAATGGATTCTTCAAGGACATCCAACTTCTCTATGGGGCCCATACCTGCTTTATTGTTAAATGTACGCATTAAACCCAATTACACAGCAGACACGAGTCTGAACATCGGATTAGACATGGTATCTGATAGCTAATGAGATTAAGCACTTTGAACTCAGAAAAGACTGCTGGGCACATCTCAAATTCAGTGTAACGAGTGTTTATTATGCTCTTGTTGCAGGGGTGGCCAGACCTTAGGGCTGTACGAGGTTCCTTCGTTATTCCCATGCGGTTCTTTCAAGGACATGAAGCAAGTCCATGTTTGTTGCTAGGCTATTTTACTGTATTCATGCCCTGAATAAAACAAAAGTATGTCCTTTGAAGCAGTAGAAACATGATAGAGTCTACAAATGCCCGAGAGCAGCCTACCAAGTCAGCACTCTTTAGGATTCTAGATTAGGTACCTGGAATTAAAAGGGAAAAAGGAACACTGTCTGTTTCTTGGTTTCAGTGATGAATTCTGGCTCTTGTATTTGGTCAGACCTGTGTCACCCTGAGTACCCAGCATTGTGCTAGTAAAGAAGTAGGAGCCATTTTCTGTGTTCTCGAGCTTTTAATCTAGTTAAGGAGGGGACACTTGAATTTCTAGGCAGCCCAGAGTCAAGAAGCTGAACTGTGGGAAAACAGAACACTTCCTGCTTTTAAGGGATAAGATACTCAAATTAGAACACTTTCACTGATTTTTTTTTCTTTTGGCTTCCAGCATTTTTTTTTTTTTTTTTTAGTCTTTAATTACTCTTCCAAAGTACTTTCATAGCACTATTCAAAAAGGATATTTGTAAGTTTTAGAAGTATGAACTCGAATCACCCAGTTATCATGGAAGCCTATTTAATGTACCTTGGTGGGGGAGTAATGAAGGAAAAGGGGGCCCCCTGGGGGCAGTCCGATCAGTTTGGAGTAGGCCTGAATCAGCACATCTTTGACTCAAAGAATTTTGATTGATCTAGCATGAATAATTAAAAGACTTAATTTGTATGTTGTACGTAGAAGGAGGAGAATTGGTAATTTGGGGAAAGTAATAACTTTTTCTGAGATGTACTTTTTTTTTTTTTTTATAAATTTTGCCTCCTCTTGCCCAGTTTCATGGAAGCTCAATTAGTCCTGAGTAGTGTGCATGCAAAACTCATGTCACCAGAGCATGATAGCAAGTTATCTGCAAGGGTAAGAGTGAGCACTCTGGCCAAGGGAGACCCTTGGCTATACTTTTGACATAAAATGGAAAAAGACTCAGATCACCCCCTGTTGCAGTGCCTGTTGCTGAAACACCAATAAGGTTAATTTTTGCTCTTAGAGGGAGATATACTGTGGGGGATGGAAGTTTAACCAGGTGCCAAATCCTCATCCAAATCTGTCATTTCTCAGTGTTTCTCAGGAGACTAGAGCTTTTCAAAAGACGCAAAATTTGGAGCTTTTAATTTTTCATTCCCTATACCCCCGACTCGCAAGCAAGGAAAATGGCCTCACCAGGAAATGGGAAGATGCTTTGCCTCAGTCATGTTTCCAGAAGAAGGTTAGGTGTTTTATGTGGGAACCAGAACTCAAAACACATTAGAAGGTGTGATGGTTTATGTGTCAGCTTGGCTAGGCTGTAGTACTAAATTATTTAATAAAACACTAATCTAGGTGTTGCTATGAAGCTTTTTGTAGATGAGGTTGATACCTACCATCAGTTGACTTTCGGTAAAGCACATTGCTCTCCATAACATGGGTGGGCCTCATGCAATCAGTTGAAGGCCTTAAGAGCAAAAACTGAGGTTTCTCAGACAAGAAGAAATTCTGCCTCAAAACTGCAGCATCAATCCCTGCCTGAGTTTCCAGCCCGCTGGCCTGCCCTGTGGCTTTGAGGCTTTCCAGTTTCCACAATCATGTGATAACGTATAGAGTTGTAATGTATAATGGAAGGAAAATGATGAAAACAAGAGGTAGGAAGATACCAAGAACAAACATCTTTCTGGCTCTTCCAGGGAGGTCAAAGTAATTAGAAGAAATTCCGGTGACATGAAACATGTATATGATTTAGAACTATGACCCCAAAGTATAAGTATAGACAAATATTGAGGAATTGGGTGGGGATGGGATTTATCATGTAGAGTGATGTGAACCAAATAGTTCTAGGAAGTCCCCTCTTCAACAGGGGCTTGACTCAAGGGCCAAATTATGAGAATGGCTGTAGAGTGTTGTCACCCATGGGGGCTTAACCTCGGTGGTAGACATGGACATGGCTGGCAGTCCTAGACACCTGGACATATGCTTCCGAACGTGTAAACTGCAAATTCAGGGACAGAGAGACTGAGAGGTGCTGGGCAGGAAATAGAATGCTCGAGTACAGGGGGGCAGGGTCTTCCTTCTACTCCTCAGTGAAATATATCTAAAAAAATCCTTTTCTGACTAACTGACTCCCTGTGGGGATCTCGGTTAGAAGATGTACTGTGGTCTCTGCTCTTTGCTGTGCTTGGTCTGGTGGTTAACATTCTTTTTCTTCCATTCTTTTTTTTTTTTTTTTTTTAAAGATTTCATTTATTTATTTGAGAGAGAGCGAACAGGAGGGGAGAGGGGCAGAAGGAAAGGGAGAAACAGCAGACTCCCTGCTGAGCAGGGAAGCTGACGTGGGGCTCAATCCCAGGACCTTGGGATCATGACCTGAGCAGAAGGCAGATGCTTAACTGACTGAGCCACCCAGGCGCCCCAGTTAACATTCTTTTTCAAAGGTGGTTAACATTCATTAGCATTGAGGTCTTTTAAAAACTGGGTCCTGGTTCCCTTCCTGTGGGGAAAGGAGGATGTTATATCTGGGGCAAGTCTGGATCATATATTATTTAAGCAGTGCTTGACTCTCTGAAGCAAACAGAAACAAAGAAAAACTGCAAAGCAGAAACCCTGATAACTGTACCCTGAAGATGTGGCTCATTAGCGCTGAGCGGGTCTTGCCGTTAGGGCATATGCATGAGGTTAGTTAAGGTCTTCCCCTAGCCATGGGTAGGATTTTGCTCAGTGTCTGCTATGGATATAACTTCTGGAATAGGCATTTATTTCTATATACAGCTTGGGGGCTCTGGCTAAAAAACCTGAGGGTATTTGGGAATGAAGCCTCAAGACACTTCTCTGTTCCTTTGGGAGTGATAAGGTCACATTGGGATTAACCAAATGTTGTCACAGTGAGATTGATGTATAAATATGGTGAATGAGCAGTAAATTTATGGCTAGAGTAAGGCTCCTGCAGATCACTGGTTTGTTTTCCTATATCGGGGAGATAACATCCCTGAACTGTAGGGCTGGGTGGTATTGCTATTGCTATATAGCTTCAGAGAGGCAAAATCAGCCTATCACTGCCTGCGGGTGTTAGAAGGCAAGGTGAGAGTGGCAAGCTGGCGCGGACTGGAAGTAGTAATAACATTGCCGCGATTTGAAAAATTAGACTTGAAGCACTTCTGGGGACAGAAGCCTCAAGCTACAGTGAACAAGGGCGAATTTTACTAATTCTTAAGTGGAGTCTCACGTTGACTTCATTTCACTCCTCTTTTGACAGTTGGGTTATTTAGTTGTCTGCTTTAGGAATTAATTTTTGGAATGACATCTGTAGCCCTGGTGGGGGCTGGTGAAATTTCTCTCACCGAAATAGAAATCATGTCCAAAATGTCGTTTCCTGACAACAGTAATTAACCTGAATCACACATCAGATAATGCTGGCAAATATGACAGTACAAGAACTTGTGGGAGTTTAAAATGGAAAAGTGGAGAGCAAATAAAACAGGATATCACATTTTTAAATGAGGTTTCTGCCTTCTTATGAAGTAAATAATAAGTGGGATTCTGTCGTGGTCAGTTTCCTTTTTCACTGGGCAGGTCTGCTTGTGTGTTCATTTCTGTAGGTAACTAGGTGAATCGTGTCTTTGTCTTTGGTGTCAGCTAGAGCTGTCACTGCCTTTGCTCTCATCACTTGCTCCTTTGAGTAACTGTCCAGACATCCACTGTGGCATCACCTCCCTCCCCGCCCCCAGCCACAACGCCCTAGAAAGTCACTCCATCTCTTATACTGGGAATGACAAAATGGTGGCCCTCAGACATGTTTGGTTGCCCTACACGTTATTTTGGAAAATTGTTTGAAACTGGGAGATACAAATAAAAATATTCAAGTGCTGACTTTCCTTGAAACATGGGATGACCTGAGAGTAGTGGGCCCTCTACTCATATATGGTGACAACTGCCTGTGATGGGGGGGAGGTGTGCTCAGTGGGGAGCGTTGGTTTCCCGTGGCTGGACTGAAGCCATTAAGTGGCCCTCCTGTCCCGGGAAACATGTGTTGACATGGGTTCAATGCATTGGGGACGATTCTAGGTACCAAATGTGAGTAACAGAAACAACTGATTGTATTATTTCAGTCTGTAGTTTAGTGGTATGAGAAACTGTAAGCTCTACAGAGCTGTAGACTTTGTCTCAGTTGTCTTGGTATAACCCCAGTGTTTCCTAAATGTTAAGATAGAACGGAAACTTACTTAGGAAGACGAACCTGGCAGGGCCACGCAAGATGCTTAGAGAAGGGTGCTGAGTGCTTGAGAAAGACCATCACCTTAAGTCAGGGCTGAGAACATAGATGAAAATGGTGGCAGGGGAACAGAGAAAGGTGGCCCTGGGACATAATTCAAGGGAAAAGCCTTGGGATTTAGACTGGTAGGAGGGAAAGGAGAAAAGGGAACGGTGAGTGTGGAGCCTTCAGGGCAGCGGTGCCAGTAATAGAGCGAGGAGGCGGTAGGTCCCAGGGCCTCCTCTGCCCCCCCAGTCCCAGCCTTCAGATGCGAAAGCATTTGAGGCTTAATTGTATTCATGATGTAGCTAATGCTAATAGCTACTCTCAGAATTTTTCCCTTCTGTCTTTGACCCCAGGGCTAAGACCATCAAGAATACAGTCTCGGTGAATCTGGAACTGACAGCGGAAGAATGGAAGAAGAAATACGAAAAAGAGAAGGAGAAAAACAAGACTCTGAAGAACGTTATCCAGCATCTGGAGATGGAGCTAAACAGATGGAGAAACGGTAAGGAAGAATGGAGAGGAAGAATGAGGCATGAGTGTGCGTGTTTCTTCTCCTGGGACACTTGGGAAGGAGGGGATGATGGCAGAGCTTGGTCCTGCCTTGCAACAACCTGTGTGAATGAGCGACGTGTTCTCATTGCCTAGCACAGTTCCCCCCCGCCAACCCCGTCCCTTGGCTGACAGGTGTGCTTAGTGTGGGCAAGTGACTATTTGCAAGGTTGCCTTAATCTATTTCCAATGAGATGCTCCTCTGTCTGTTAGTGTAATTCTCTCTGGTAGCCACGTTTGAGGTTTTGAGGGCAGCGTCTGAGACTTTGTGGCTCAGACTGCTCTTGATTCAGTGAAAAATGTCATTCTCTCCTACATGAGTTTTGTAATTGACTTGGGGTTAAAAGTTACCGCTGGCAAATATTTGCATTTTGGGGGGGCCAACTGCGCTTCATGCTCTGCTTCTTCAGAGCCAGAAATAGAGGATTCCTGAAGCAGCCTTGTGTTAAAATGGAGTCTTATAGGCTTATTTCGTGACTAGCTTCCCCCCCCCAAACACATTTTCTTTGTTTTACTCAAAGAAAATATTTCAGAGAGCTGACACACACTGGGTGGGTGGGTTGTGGGTGAGGCGTTGAAGAGGGTTTCCAGATCCAAATGCAGACAGATTATTTCGGAAATTTTAGCATTGTGATGGAATTAGAAGGTATAAGTCTTTTTTTTTTTTAACTGAAATAATAGGCAGGTTGGTGTGTTTGTAGGGGCAAAGTGGATAGATGGAGATTCAGGCTCTTTGCCTTTGCGTCCACCATGTATTTCAGGCACTGCCCTAGACCTCAGTCTCTTGGGGAAGCGTAGGAGCCTGGGGGCTGCCAGGCCGGATGGGGGTGGAACCCGCCTGTGTGTAACTGCAGAGTTAGTGGCAGATCTTCTTGTGATTCTATGTTTGCCACTGTTTTTTGCTAGGAAAGGTGGGGTGCCAATGACCTACTATTCAATGGAAAAACAATTGCGAAGCAAAGCAGGATTCAAGAGAGGTTCAAGAAATGACCTAGTAGCCTAAATAACACAGTTCTTTTTGGGAGATTTTCTAGCTGCACACATGTTTTGAAAGCTGCTAGAATAATTGAATAATTCAGCACCTGGGGCCGGTGGATGATTCCTTGCGATTTGGCAGGAGTTAGGAGAGTGGGGAGGAATGGTTGGCAAGGTGAGGAGCAGCCGTATGAAATTTTGTTCTATTTCTGGGATCCTCTTGGGTCAGTTCTCTGCTGGGCAACTGGAACATTCAGTAATAACACCTTTTGGTACAGGGAGGGGGGCTGGCCTTAGAACATTGAGCAGTGGGCAGCTAGCCTTGTTGTTTTCTCTTCTGTACTGTCCCTTGCCAAGCTCTCACCCTGCAGTCCTCCATCCCTCCACCAACTCTGTCCTCTGGGGTTGGCCCGCTGCTCTGTTTGCCTAACTCACCCTCCTGCCTGGCACTCCCTCCTTGCTTTTGGACTTTTAACTTGGCATCATTTTAATTGTTTGTCCCACTTCATCCACCTTGCAGATGTACTTAGAAGTACACTGTTTTCCATGTCCCACAGGGTGAGATTCTACATAAGCCCTTACGTACATAATTTAGGAAAACTCATGTATGGTTTCTGGCACATGATAGACTTTCATAGATGTGTGTTATGTAAGCATGTGTTTAATCCATTGCTGGAGTGGAAAGGGTGAGCCGTCAGTCATGGTCTCTGCCCTTACAGAGCTTACAGTCTGATGGGGGAGACAGACTCCAGCCACAATCAATAAACATATCTATGCTGCATACCAAACAGGGAAAGGATAAGGTACTAAGTTATTATAATGGGCCCTGACCTTGATTGAGAAGTTAGTGAAGGTTTCCCCCGGTAAGCCACCTAGGGAGTAAGCAACCTAGGGAATAAGATCTGAGAGAAAGAGAGCAGTTAGGAGCAGCAAGGTAGAAGTGGGGGTTGGTGTGGAGGAAGCCACATTTACAACATCCCAAGGGGCGACTTTGAGGGGGCCGGCAGCAGGAAGGCCAGTGTGGCGAGCTGGGGCAGGGCAGTACTGGCCTGAGTTGGGTGGGAAGGGTAGGCAGGCCTGTTCTGTGCAGGGCTGAAGAGTTTTGGTTCAGGATTTTGGTTATTATCTAGGAAGCAATGAGAAGCCCTTCAAGGATATTCCACTGAAGATCATATGATAAGATTTGCATTTTTGAAAATCCATTGGTTGTGTTGGAGAATGGACTAGAGAGGGTAGGAGAAGGGCCAGGAACAAGGATGGTCTTCCAGAGATGGGGTTACAGTAGTTGAACTGAGAGACAGGGCAATAGCAAGGGAGAGACACGGATGGACCAGAGAGGTATTTAAGAGGTAAAATCAGCAGGGCTTGGTGAGGAACTGGCTACAGAGAGACAGAGTGCCAAGTTGTCCGGCTTGCTGTGTTGGATGGAGGGTGGAACCATTCACTGAAAAAAGAAATGCCAGAGAAGAACCAGACTGGAGACAAGGGAGATGTGGAGGGGAGTTTGAGGTGTCTGTGGAACATCCGGGTGAAAATGTCAAATAAGTTAGGTCGAAGGGTCTAGAGCTCAGAGGCACTGGCTGAGCTAGGGAAAGAAATGTGAGTTGAGCTTTAGGAAGTACATAAAGGCATAGGTAGGGGTGAGGGCCTCTGTAGAGAGAGGGCAGGGAAGAGAAGAGGGAGAGAGAGTCTTGAGAGAGACGCCCCCCCCATGGTTACCATGTAGTCACTGAGTGAATGTAATAGAGAAGGGGATCTGCAGAGCTCTCCTGTCCTCCCAAGCTAACATTTATGTTTTAAAGATAATTTTTGGGGGGGCACCTGGGTGGCTCAGTCCGTTAAGCGTCTGCCTTGGGTTCAGGTCATGATCCCGGGGTCCTGGGATCGAGTCCCATATTGGGCTCCTTGCTCGGCAGGAAGTCTGTTTCTCCCTCTGCCTGCTGATCCCCCGGCTTATGCACTCTCCCTCTCTCTCTCTGACAAATAAGTAAATAAAATCTTTAAAAAAAAAAAAAAAAAAAATTTTTCCGAAAGCAAAAGTTTTCAAATGTAGAGAACCAACTTCAGTGATACAAATTTGAGGCTGGAAATGAGGCAGGTGGTGGCATCCCGGAGCTGGTCCTTGGAGCAGCTGTGAGTGAAGGACTGTCTCAAGGACTAACTATGTCCCGCATACAACAAAAACAACCCCCGGCTTTTTGTTATGTGCCCAGGCTGGGCATTTAGTCCTGGAGCAGCCCTTGAGGTTTCAACAAGCTAGAAGGCTCACTCGAGGTGGCTCAGTCGCTGACGGAGCAGGGATCTGAACGTAAGGCAACTTCTGCAGGTCCGCTGTCTCTTTACTGTCTGTGCGGTCTGCACACAGCCCGAGTGGTTTGTGTTCAGGCCAGTTAGAGGAGCGTGAAAAATGCCACACCAGGAGAGAAGGGACCGGAAACTCCTTGGCAGTGTCCCGCGCACCAGGCCTAATTCCTCATCGTCATGAGAGCGTGGCTGGTTCGTGTCAACTGGAGAGCTGGGAGTTTGGGAGGTGAAGTCGAGAAAGAGGTGGTGCCCTCCACTAAAACCCAAGTGACAGGGTATTTACAGCTTTCTTTTGGAATTTGACCCACACCTGGGCTCTGAACTTGTAGGAGGCAGCCACTGAGTTCACCTCAGCGAATCCTGGGTGTTGATGTTTGCAGATTGTGGGCTGAACAACTGAAAGCAGCACGGCCCATTGTACGCATTCTCTGCTGGGAAAGAGAGGTCTGTCTTTGCATGGCGTGTTTATAATTTTAAAAACGTTTGGCTGCTCTAGCTGGGGAAGAGCAAGAGAGAAGGAGTGGAGCTGAGGAAAAGTGTGCGGGTATGTGCACGCTTGTGCTTTCCCCTTTCTGCTGTTCTGTAGACAGAGGCAGGGAAACCAGGGAGTCAGAGAGTGAAAGAACACGCTGTCACCGCGGCAGACCTGGTCCGGGTGGGTCATGGAAGGTGAAGAGGTCGACACAGTTGGTGGTAATGGGACTGTGCAGCAGGAGAGAGCGTTCCCAGCCCAGAGTCATTCAAAAGGTGTGAAATACTACCCTATACCATGCCTGTAGGCTAGTTCTGCCCCAGACCTCCACCACTACCAATTTTCAACTCCTTCTAGCTTCATGGGTTACTTCAAAATGCGAGCCTGGCAGTTTTCTCCTCTGGACATAGTAGAACATTTGATTCTCAGAATATGGCCGCTGACTGGTATATAATTACACCCAGCCTTCATTCATTTCTGCCGTCGGCTTTAAGGCAAGGCTCAGGGCATATGCGTGCTGGCTTAAAAGGAGGTCATGCCTTGTTTTTATAAAGAAGGAGTAAGGAGAGCCACTCCGCTCCCCACAGTGCCAGGCTCCTTGGGTTGCACGGGATAGGAATTGACCCTGCTTAGGTTAAACAAAACAGGAAAGTAGGAGAAGCCTGTGAATGACTCACAGAACCAAAGGACAGCTGAGCAACCAGCCTCATCTGGCAAAGCTGGGACTGCTCCAGAGATGCAGGGCTCATAAGGGGGCCACACCTGGCGTGAGTCCCCTCTTGAGTTTTCTCCCCCTTCCTTGCATTATTTGGATGGGTAGGGAGGCCCAGGAGAGGAGGGAGATAACTGTGGTGTGGTTCGGTTGAGGAAGCTCAGGGCCCTCTGCTGTGTCCTCTGACCAAGCCTGCACGTATCGGGAGAGGTAATTCCTCATAAGGAAGTTGTGGTGCTGAAAGGAAATGGGTGTTGAGTGACTGAAAAACACCTGTCCAGTACAATCTGCTAGTGACATCTTGTGGGCTGAAATCGATTGACAGTCTTGGAATCTGGAAGCTCTGTTGGCAGCTTCAGCCTCAGGGATTTTGTTCAGCCTACCGGCTTAAGGACAGATAGGTGGAGTGGGCAGTTGTCGGAAGCAGGATTGTTTTCTTTTTTCCAGCTCTGTTGTTTGTTCATCATGTACATGGAAAGGACTTGAACAA